CTCATTGTGGCCATTCAGGAGGAGAAAGGGTGGGAGGGCATGTTGCTTCTCTTTCAGGATTGTCTCCCAAAGCTGTAAGGAATATGTCCTTTTGCACACTGGCCACAGGGTGTAGTGACAGTACGTGTCATTGTAAAGGGGGCTGGGAAGTGTAGTCTTGCTCCTGGCTGTGTTCCCGCTGATAGGTCGTGTGGTTCTGCTGCTAGGGAAGGAGGGGAGAACAACTGCCATCCGGCTCTGCCGGATGCCCGGGTTTCAGATCTTCCAGGTAGAAAAACCCCTGCCCTCATGGAGTGCCCGCTGGAAAGGGACCGACTTCAGTCCACTTCCCGAGTGGCACCTTTGGCAAATCCAAGGCAGTAGCCAGGCTGTGCAGGGCCACTTCCTAAGCAAGTGCGTGGGTCACACAGGCGGCCTTTGTTAGCTCTGCCAGTTCTCCTGAAGTCTTTCTCCCGGAGCCCAGGGCCCCTTCCAGCCCTTCCTGTGCCTGAGGCATGGTCAGGCCACGAGCTCCTGGGAGGGGACGCTGTGCAGCAGCGGTGGGCCACCCGCTCAGCCCTCGCCCCAATGTTGCCTGGCACTCCCGGGGCTGGGGGCAGGGCGGGCACCACAGGGAACAAAGAGGCATTCCTGCGCCTGAGCCTCGAGGCTCCAGGCCGACTCCTTGGAGTCGTGGAGAGGCTTGTCTTGAATGCCTGACTTTTTGTTAGAGAAAGAAAAGTGTTTTCCAAAGTCCCCGGGCTGCTTCTTACACAGAAGTCACACGAGTCCGAGGAGCCACAGAGTGGGGTGGGGGGACAGGGCAGTGAGGACACCCTGTCACGGGACAGCGAGAACGCCCTGCCGCAGGGGACAGTGAGGACGCCCTGCCGCAGGGGACAGCGAGGACGCCCTGTCACAGGGGACAGCGAGAAGGTGCAACGGGAGGGAAAGTCTGGGGCACAGGTGAAAGGGAAGACACCCGGTTTCAGCCCTCCATGGCGGTGGCCTCTGCTGGGCCCTGGTGCCTGCCTGAAACCCCTCGAGGAGCATGTGGCAGGCTGGCCGGGTGCAGTGCAGTGAACACGGCAGCTCAGACACGGCTGGGGTGCAAGGGGGACCTGGGCTGCCGTGGGGACTCAGAGCAGGGCATCAGAAGGGACAGACCAGGCCCCAGAAGGGGTCTGTGTGTCTCGCCCAAGCCAAGAGACGAGAGCCTGAGTTCCAGCTGCCCTGGACACCCCTCCAGTGGAGCTGCTGAGAGCAGAGGCTGGCGGTCCTGGTGAAACCAAGGACCTCTCTCCAAAGTGGGGTGAGGGGATCATGTGTGAGCGCCCTGTCCCTTCTAGGGGACGAGTGGCTTAACAGGATGTGTGCAGTTTCTTTAAAGAGGCCATGTTTTGGGCAAGTCTGGGCAGTGCTGAGTAAATTCAGACCCTCCTCTGGGTCTGCCCCAGGAGCCCAGGCCCCACCTGAAGCCCCAGGCCTGGGGCTGAGCGAGGAGTGATGGTGCAGACAGAGCTGGAGCCCAGGGAAAGGCCGCAGCATGCAGGGCCGGCAGGAGGGAGTCAGACAGGCGCCCTCAGCTCATCCAGCTCCACATCCTGGGAGCAGGATGGCAGGGCTGGGTGGGGCTGGGTGGGGCTGGATGGAAAAGTGTCATGACCCTCTGGGGGAGAGAGGGAGAGAGAGGGACAGTGCATGGGTGTGCCCACAGGAGTGGCCTGGACCACACGGTTTTGGTTGGCAGTGGCAAGGCAGCTGGTGGGGCCGGGCTCTGTGCTTTCAACAAGCCCCCAGCTGACTCATTCGTGGTCAGTATTGTCTGCCTTTGTGGGCAGGTGTGGGGCCGGCCCAGGCTCCCTGATTCATCCGGATCCTCACAGCAGCCTTCCCATTTCTTTCTTTCTTTTTTTTGAGTCTTGCTATGACACCCAGGCTCCCAGGCTCCCTGGCTGGAGTGCAGTGGTGAGATCTTGGCTCACTGCAACTTCCGCCTCCCGGGTGCAAGTGATTCTCCTGCCTCAAACTCTTAAGTAGCTGGGATTACAGGCGCCCGCCACTGCTCCTGGCTACTTTTTGTATTTTTAGTAGAGACAGAGTTTCACCATGTTGGCCAGGTTGGTCTTGAAATACTGGCCTCAGGTGACCCATCAGCCTCGGCCTCCCAAATTGTTGATATTACAAGTGTGAGCCACCATGCCTGGCCCAGCCTTCCCACTTCACAGAGAAGAAAATGGAGGCACAGGTGTAGACAGTAGCCAGTGGTCCACTTGGAACTCAAGCCCTGCTCTGACAAAGCGACTCCTGTAGGCTTCTCTGCTGCTGCTGCGTCTGCAGGTGCAGCCAGACCCAGGCCTTCCCGCAGAGGTGTCCTCGGAGCCCTGAGCTGAGGCCCTCCTAGGAAGATGTCCTCATGTCATGAATGCAGTGTGCCCCCCGAGTCCTCTTAGTCTGGAAGCTCCTCAAGTCCAGGTGTACACTCCCAGGAGAGGACTTGGGGCTCCCACCTTTGCGAGGGTGGTCTGAGGACGGGCTCCTCTCTGTGCCACAATGAAGGGGACCAGGGGCCCCAAGCCAGGTATCTGGGAGACCATGCCTAGGTTGGGGTAGTGGGGGCCTGGCTTCCCTGAGGAAGAGAACACAGTGCTGTGTGCAGAGGTGCCCCCAACTGGCAGGGTGTGAGGACCAGTGCTGGCCTGATGGTGCTGGCATGAAGCCCAAGGGGAGCAGCGGGGAGCAGGCCCAGCAGGCCCATCCAGAGGCGGCTGGCCATGGCTGCAGCTTCGGGTGTAAAGACCGAACAGCAGGGCGGGAGGGATTGGGCAAGTGGCACTGGCCACGAGGCTGGGTGGTGGAGGGGCTGCCTTTGTCCAAACCCAGAGGCCCGGGAGCAAGGACAGATGTGGGCTTCCCTGGCAGGATGGAAGGGGGCAGGGGACCTCAGAGGACTGGGTGAGCTGAATGCTCACAGCAGGGACTCTGGGGCAGCGGATAGGAAGTGGGATGAGGCCTGGGCAGGGGGCAGATCAGAGCCTCCTGGGTCTTTGGCTCAGGCGGACTTTATTTCTTTATATATTTTTTGAGATGGAGTCTCACTCTGTCACCAGGCTGGAGTGCAGTGGCACGATCTTGGCTCACTGCAACCTCCACCTCCAGGTTCAAATGATTCTCCTTCCTCAGTCTCCCAAGTAGGCTGGGACTACAGATGTGTGCCACCACGCCCAGTTACTTTTTTATATTTTTGGGTTTCGCCATGTTGGCCAGGCTGTCCTTGAACTCCTGATCTCAAGTGATCTGCCTGCCTCGGCCTCCCAAAATGCTGGGATTACAGGTGTGAACCACTGCACCCAGCCTCAGGTGGATTTTAATAAAATGGCTTTCAGCCAGGTGCCATGGCTCATGCCTGAAATCCCAGCATTTTGGGAGGCCAACGTGGGCGGATCAAGAGGTCAGGAACTAGAGACCAGCCTGGCCAACAAGGTGAAACCCTGTCTCTACTAAAAATATAAAAATCAGCCAGGTGTGGTGGCATGCGCCTGTAGTCCCAGCTACTTGAGAGGCTGAGGTAGGAGAATTGCTTGAACCCTGGAGGCAGAGGTTGCAGTGAACTGAGATCGTGCCACTGCACTCTAGCCTGGGTGACAGAATGAGACTCTATCTCAAAATAAATAAATAAAATAAATACATAAAAGTGGCCTTCAACTTTAAACAGAAGCAGGAAGAGGAAAACCCCCATTTCGGGTGAGGTATTTTCAGGTCTGATTTCACCTTTGATCATGACAGTGGCCCTACAGAGCCCCGTGGTGCTATCAGAAAGTGGAGGAAGTTTTCATCACAGCTTCCCAGAGAGAGGCCAGGCCGAGGGCTGGTCCACACCCCAAATAAACCTCCGCATGGAATGTCTGGGAAGCACCCGGGAGTTCCTCTTGGAGTCTGACCTCTGCTCCTCCCTTCCACAGACTGTACCTGGGCACAAGCAGATGTTGGCTGGAGTCTGAGACCGGGGTTTTAAAAGGGCAGCTATGTTCTGTTTCCTGCCCTACTTGTGCCATGACCCTCCCAGAAACACCCCAGTGACCTTTGTCACTGGGTTGGTGGCAGGTATGATCTGGCAGGTGACTAATATGGTTGACTTCCCTCAGGGACCCAGTGGGGAGGCTGCACTTGCCTGATCCAGGGAATAGAGACACAGCTCACCTGGGCTGATGGAAGGTGCCTTGCCCAAGGACCTTCCTGCCCAGTTTCACCAAATCTGACCACTAGGAAACCAACATCTGCAGACCTTTTAAGACAGCTGGCCTGTATGAGTCAAATATGTCAATTCTAAGGAAGACAGAAAAAAGGAGGGGTGGCTGGGACTCTCCTCCATTCAAGGAGACAGGAGAGGTATCTGGAGGGCCATGTGGTCCCGGGGTTCTGAAATGCTCTGAAGACGTCTCTGGGACAACCGGAATGTCCGGATACTGGAAAATGTTGCTGTATCACCGCTATTCAATCTGGCCTGGAGAACAGGGTTGAGTTTTGTGGGAGAACATCCTTAGGAGACATGAGCTGATAGATTCAGGAGTGTGATATTCTGATGATCACAACCTACTTTCAGATGTTTCAGAAAAGTGTGTGTGCGTATGAGAAAGTGTGGGCACAGGGCAAGAGAAGGTGATAAATTTCGGCTAAGAGTATGTGGGTGTCCATGGACTATTCCTCCACCCTCTTTGTCATTTGAAATCTTTCGAAATTTCAAAAGACATGGAGGGAAGAGGTTAATGAGGATGTAACCGAATGGCACCAGCCTCCCTCTCAACTGGTGTCATCTTCCCCAGTACTGTCATTAATGATTAATAAGTGGTTCCTCTTTCTGGTGCTGACAAAGTTCAATTTTTTCTTTCAGAACGCATTACTTAACGTAACTTTGCTCACTGAGCCCCCTGCACCTGTGCGAAGCACCCCACCCTCGGGACTCCGTGTGAGACCCCACTGGGAGGGGCAGCTGTGCCCAGAGACCACAGCACACCTACCACTCCTTGTCAGGGTTTATTTCATCAGCTAACATTCATTCTTGACCTAGACAAAAACAATTAGATGATTATGACTTGCTTTTCCATCATCAACTTGTTTTTTTGTATGAATAACCAAAAAATTTCTTCTCAACACTTTTTTTAAAGAAGAAGCTATAAATAAATAAAGCTTTAAATGATCCTGGGTTCAAGTTAAACAGTTCCAGTTCCTGAAAAGTTCACAGCCTTGTTGTGTGGGAAGTTCTGCTGTTCCTGGCTTCCCCCTCCAGGGGACGTTTGCAGGGCTGGGGGTCCTGGTGACTACACTGTTAGCGCCACTGCCTGCCTGCTTCCATCCTTGCAGCCCTGGGAGGGCCCCAGGTGGACATAGTCCTTACAATGTAGGAGATGCTGCAGGCAAAGGAACTGTTGACCCAAAGCAGGTGACCTGAATGGGAAGTGCCAGGCTGGACCACTCGGGGGCTAAGGGCACTGCCAGCTGCCTCCGCCTCTGAACACCTCAGCCTGGTGCTGGCTCAAGAGGAGACTGCTTTCCAAGAGCAGCGAAGAGACTGAGGAGAGACCCGTGCTTCCGTGTGAGTTGGGATGCGGGGCATAAGTTAACACATATTCCAATATGTACAAAACAGAACCTGTGCTTGGGCCTGTGCACCCAGGAAGCCCATGGTGGGGGGGGCCACCTTAAGCAAGGCCTCTGGCTGGGTGTGCACCTCCTGCTGGGAGGCCATGGCGCCCCACATGGCTTGTGCAAGACCCCCATGCTCCCTTGAACACGTTCCTCCTCCTCCCAGTAGTGCACCCCGCCCCAATGTTGTGTCCAAGCAGATTCCCAGTGACCCTGACCTCCCTTTGAAAGAACCATGCCACTAAATTCCCTTGTGGCACTCGCTTCCTTACTGTGACACTCCTACCAGGGAGGTGAACCTGCACTGTGCCGTCCACCCTGTGCTGTTGACTACCCTGTCCTTGGACCTCAAAGTAAAATGGGGCAGTGTAGGAAGGCTGATAGTGGGGCCTGCATGCCAGACCTCAGCGGCAGCAACCTCGTCTGACCACTTTCACTTTCCTGTGCTGAGGAAGGTGCTTGTGCCCATGCCCATGGTGACCCACCCACTTCACCCCATGGCGGGGCAGTTGCAGTTTCTGAGTGAAAGCTGGGGCAGGAGAGAGGACCACTGCCAGTCCCAGCCAGGTGGCTTGCAGAGCCCACCACCCTGCCTCTGAGTCAGCCTGCAGCCTGAGCACACCAATCTGCTCTCTGGGGATGCAGGGCACCTGGGTGGGCCCTCCTACAGACCCCAGCCTGGCTTCCTAGGGCACAAGGGATGGGACAGGGCTTAGGGCACGCACTTACAACAGATATGCAACATGGCTTTTAGTAGGGCAATCACAGCCGGTGAGGAAGCCTGCGGTGCTGCTGGAACAGAGCATGGCCAGACTTTTGCAAGGGTTGGGAAGGGCTGAGTATTTGGTGACACGGAGGCCACCTACAGCTGTTTTGCCAAGGCTAGTTGAGGATGTGAAAGCTGGAGTCCCTGTTCCTGGCCATCCATTGTGGCCCAAGGGTAAGGCTCCTGGGCAGGGGCTATGGTCCCAGGCTCCAGCCGATGAAAGCCTGGTGAACTTCATCCACATGCTGGTGGGAGCAGTAGTATTTGAGCTCTTGAGTACATGTCTTGGTGATGGGGCTGGGGCAGCATGCTAGCAAATCCCAGTGGGTCAGAAAGGAGAACAGAGGCAGGGGAGCTCTCAGTCCCAGCTCTCCCTGTCTGAGCCAGGTGTGCCTGTGCGGTCACCTCCAAAGGCCAGCAGGGGACTCAGGCACAAGTGGCAGGATCCCTGGCCAAAGCCCCCCCACTCCTGGGCTGCCAGTCTGCCAATAGGCAGCCGCAATGCTGCGTGGGCCCACTCCCTAAACCCCCCTTGGTCTGAGAACTGCAGGAAGTGGGTGAGGGCCTGAACGTTAGCTTTGGCCTCCTGACCCAAAGATGGAGCCGGACTGTGGGTTCTGACCATGGACCAGAGAGGGGAGTGGGCTTCCTGGGGGCTGGACTTGAGTCTTCTCTGCCTCACATGGGGTGGGCCCTGAATTGAGGGAGCTATGGATGGGTGAGCAGGTTGGGGGGGGCTCCTCAGGCCCTAGGGCATTGGGGGCAGCCAGAAGGGGAGGGGCTATGGGATGGCCTGGAGCTGGGGCAGTTGCGGGAAGCTGGTCTCATTCCTAGTGGCCTGGACTGAGGAGCTGAGTGTGAACGGTGTGCATAGTTGGTGAGGGACACTCCCAGCCTGGCAGGTCCACTTTCTGCTGTCCTCGTCTCTTGTGCAAACCTTCAGTTTTCATGATAAATCCAAGGGGCCAGGAGAGCAGGCACAACCCCTGCTCTGGAAGCCCTGCCCTGCCCTGCCCTGCCCATGGCATCCTTGGAGCATGCTTTCCTCTGACCCACTGGGCTGCACCTGTTGATTCCTCACCCCCCACCCCCGCCCCCGCCCAGCTGCACCGCGTCCCTGCTCTGTTTTTCTTTCAGGATGCAGCTACCTCTGTGGAGCAGGTGTGGGCTGCTCTTCCTGTGACAGTCTTGGGTGGCCCTGTTGTCTGTCCTGTTTTCCCCCCCACATCCCCCGAGAGGCCTCCCCATGGCCACCACCGCCACTACCACTTCTCAATGATGTGGCTCATGTAGTCCTCAGTGGGCACGCGGCCCGGCTCCTCGGCGTCCTCCCGCGGCAGAGCCTCCTTGGCCCGGTGCAGCAGGCGCTCCTCGCGGCTCTTCAGGCGCTGCTCCCTGCGCTCCAGCTGCCGCTTGTACTGGTAGCGCTGCTGGAAGAGGTCCTTGGCGTAGTCATACAGCTGCATGTCCAGGTCGTTGAGCTCCTCGATGCGCCGGATGGTGTCCTCGTCCACCTCCACGCCACCCGCCCTTGTGCTGTTGTACTGCATGAAGGGCCGGATGAACTTGAGGTTGAACGTCCGCTCGAACAGGTACTGTGTCTTGCGCTGGAACTCGGTCAGGCCGAAGAAGGCCATGCCCCGCAGGTTCTTCTTGGCGCTCTCGAGCAGCAGCTGGGCCCGCTTGCCCTCGGGGATGAAGGACAGGTTGTAGCAGCCCACCAGGCTCAGGTCGGCCAGCATGCGCACCTGGCGGTTGTTGGCCAGGTTGTACGGGCAGTCCATGAACTCCTGCAGTGTGCAGCCCGACCAGTCTGTGCCCTCGTAGCAGGGTGGCAGCTCTTCGGGTGTGGGCGTGCGCCCATCACACATGTGCAGCGACGTCTTCCATGTGGCCCCCCTCTGCACGTGCCGCCACTCGCTCAGGTAGCGGGACACGGGGTCTCGTAGCAGTGTGATGTAGTAGAACTTCCTGCAAGGAGATGGGGAGAGGAGGTGAGGGCCGTGATGCAGCATGAGGGGGGCGCCTGCGGCTGCTCTGAGTCAAGGTCCCCACTCAGGAGTTTGGGCTTCACCTCTGATGCCGACCAACCCCCTGCATTTAGCTCTCGAAACAGCCGTTTCAAAACCAGCATCTGAGATGTCAAGGAGCATGCCACAGTAACATGGCTACCCAGGGTGACCACCACGTCACCCTGTAGTGCCTGGCATGGCTCCTCTGGAGGGACAACCTTTCTGCTGGTGGGCGGAGCCGCCAATACTTCATCCAGGGAGGTCCCAGAGCCATGGCCGCCTGAGACCAGCAGTGCTCACGAGCTGATTACACCATGGGCATGGTGTCACCCAAGGAGCCACTCAGCAGGAGCAGAGGGTGAGCAGGGGCCAGCCAGGGTCACCTCCAGACCCAGGCCACAGCCTACCCCAGCAAATGTGGTGTAGGGAGGACCCAGCAGGACTGAGCTGCCGACCCCAGGTTCCCACTTCACACACCCCAAGGCACACCTGGCCCTTCCCAAGCACCCTGCACCCACCACCTGCCTAGTACCTCCCATCCGAGCTGATGGCAGCAGCTCCTGGGCACTTGGGGCCTCATGGGCCAGAGGGCGAGACCTTGTCCTTCAGGTAGCAGGTAAGACAACACCTTAGAACCGAAAATGACCAAGGCCCAGCGAGTGAGGGCCTGGGGCAGCCAGGGCAGGCTTCTGTCTCCTGTCTTGGGCTCACAAGGCCCTGACTGCTCAGAAGAGAGGCCATCCACACCCTTCCTAGCTGACCCTGCGTCCAGGGGAGGCACAGGGCTACATGCACCTCCTCGCCAGCCCTCCTGTGGGTCCTGACCGAATGGATGGAGACAGGCCAGTATGGGCCATTTCTTCTGAACACAGAAAACCACAGTGTGATGTGCCAACCAACAGACAGGCTTGCCCTCCTAGCCCCAGCTGATGACCCTGTGAGTCGGCCATAAGGACTTTGGCCCCAAAAGGGACTCTGAGGGCAAGGACGCACTGTACATGGTGCGGAAGGCCCCATCCAGGAAGCACACCCATCTCAACTCCTCTCCCATGTTCAGCACCCTGCATCCACAGGCGGGTCCTTCAGCCCCAGCCCCACACCCACTCGGGGACCATCCCTGCAGCCCGAGGCATGCCTCCATCATGAGCTCTCCAGGCACTAAAATGACTCGGACTTTTTCTTTGTGTGTGAGCCACTTAGAGAAGCCGTGAGCAATTTACTCTTGGGTTTCTGAAAAAGCTGGTAGGGTGAGCTGCTCAAGACAGGCACTCATTTGGAAGCCATCAAAGTCTGGGGCCCTCAGAGCACTGGAGGCGAGGCTTTCTCCACAGCTCCAGGCCTGGCCTCGCTCCTCTGCCACGGCCTTCTATGCGCAGGAGGCCCAGCAGGCACCAACAGGGGCAAGGGGCACCTGACCAGCCGAAACCCTCATGGTCTCTGGAATGACCAAGCCTGTCAGTCTCACCTGTCCTTCCTGCGCCCATGTCCCACATAACCCTTCTGGACCAAGGCCTCCCGCTGCAGGGACAGCTGCTGGGGACCCACACCAGGGAGGCAGGTTGTGTGCAAAGACGTGCATGTTCTCATTAGCAGTGCTGGCCCAGCGGCTTTGCATCTTATAACAAAATGGCACAATGGACACTGAGCCTGGGGGAACCTGAGGAGCCGACCGAGGCCACTGGCCTAAGGTCAAGGGACTTATACCATCTTGTGTACCTTCTGCGGTCAGAACATTGGCATGCCCTGGGTCCCCTGATTCTGTCCCCCAGACATGGCCTAGTAGAGACAAAGGGCCAGGTAGAATCTAGAAGCTGCCTGTGAGGCCAGCAGCCAAATGTCAGTGTCCCCGCCCTTTTCTGCAGATGTGACAGCTGAATCAGGTGGGGTGACGTGCCCTTGGCCACTGTCCAGTTCCTTTCTACCCCTGCCTGGCACACCTCTCCATCGTCGGTGGGCCTCTTCAGGAGCCAGAGGCATCTAGTCCCATGCTCGCCATGCAGAGCCCTTCCCTCCCCACTGCCTTGTCCCCTTCACTCTGCTGACCACAGCAGGCACTGCTGGCTACAGGCCAATCCTGGCCATCTTCTGCCCTGGTGCCTCAGCTCCGCCTCACCCTGTCCCACCTCCCAAGCTCCATCCTTTCCTCCACTGCATGCATTGCCAGATGCATCTGCTCTTTACATTCCAGTCTGTCATCTGCCAAAATGTGGGGAGGAAGTGTCAAACAGAAGCAGGCAGAGGGCGGGGTATGGTGAGGTGCAGAGGATTCCCCAAATGGCCCATCCCAGATCTAGGCAGCTCTCTGACATATGTTCTCTGGAGGTGCCAAGGGGGTGGCTCACGGCTCAGAGGTTTGAAGAATTCTGTGCACTCAAGGTGGTTCCCAGCCCCTCCCCTCAGGAGCCCAGGCTCATCTAATCCATTCCCCACACGCCCTGCAGGAAGCTGAAGGGTCTGTGCCCCAGAGCAGTCATCCCCACACTGACATTTGGGACCCCACAAAGCAGGGGCTTTTGTGTCTCACTCTCCAGCAGGGTCTCTCCATCCAGGTGCTCCAAGTGCCTGCCAGCAAGGCTCCAGAAAGAGGGGAGTGAGAAAATAGAGGACAGAGATGATGAGAGAAATAACCAGAATTGGAGTACACAATTCACTGAGACCGAAAAGGCTCACCAGGTGCCAAGCAAATGAATGTGGGGACTCAACAGAGGACTAAAAAGTTGACCCTTGAAGCATCTGGACAGAAAAAGCAATAAATAAAGGGCATGCTTCTCTATCGCAATGCCGTATGTTAGAAACCAATGGAGCATAGTCTTCAAAAGGCAGAGGGAAAATGGCTAACTTGATTTCATACCCAGCCAAGCTATTAATCAAGTACGGAGGACAGCAGAGACATCTTGAGACGTAAAAACACTTAGGAAATTTATCTTCTGTGAATCATATTTTAGGAAGATCCCGGAGTATGCATCTCATTTAGCAAAAAAGAAAAAAAAAAAAGAAAAAAAGAAAAAACAATACCAAACTTGAGAGCCAGGAGCTCCAACCTTGTGGGGGTTCCAGGATGTCAGCAGAACATCCCATGGGGCCTGGCAGGAGCAGGGGGACAGAAGCTCTAGGAAACAAATGGGCAAAGGCCATTGTGTGGCTCACACCTGTAATTCCAGCACTTTGGGAGGCTGAGGTGTGTGGATCACTTGAGGTCAGGAGTTCAAGACCAGCCTGGCAATGTGGCAAAACCCTGTCTCTACTAAAAATACAAAACTAGCCAGGTGTGATGGTGCTTGTGATCCCAGCTACTTGGGAGGCTGAGGCAGGACAATCACTTGAACTCAGGAGGTAGAAGCTGCAGTGAGCTGAGATTGTACCTGGGTGACAGAGCAAGAATTCGTCTCAAAAAAAAAAGGAGGGGCGCCTGGATAGATGGCCTGACACAACTGAGTATTTGTTTGGAAAAAAATCAACGGTAGGTGCATGGCAGATTCTGGAATCATTTGGAAAAAATTAGTCCATGAAGACAGAAAATAAAGCAAGTATAACAACCAGGAAAGCATTAATTCCAGGAAAAACAAAGAGCTATATAGAAAAGAAAATGAAATCTATCACTTGACTCAAAGGTAAATGATGGTTTTGAAGGCATCATCATGTAAACAGTGTTACTGTATGTGGGTGATGGGTGGGGTGAGGACAGACTGTGTGAGGGTGTAAGAACGCTTCATCTTCATCTATCAAAACAAATAACAGAATATCTAACTCAATACATTAAGAAATAGCACTACATATATATTTCAAAATACGGAGGTAGACCGGGTGCCGTGGCTCAAGCCTGTAATCCCAGTGCTTTGGGAGGCCGAGGCAGGCGGATCACAAGGTCAAGAGATCGAGACCATCCTGGCCAACATGGTGAAACCCCGTCTCTACTAAAAACACACAAAAAATTAGCTGGGCGTTGTGGCGTGTGCCTGTAGGCCCAGCTACACAGGAGGCTGAGGCAGGAGAATTGCTTGAACCCAGGAGGCAGAGGTTGTGGTGAGCAGAGATCGCGCCATTGCACTCCAGTCTGGGTAACAACAGCGAAACTCTGTCTCAAAAGAAAAAAAAAAAGTGATGAGCTGAAACAGGAAAATTCAAGTCAGAGGCTAGCCCTGGGCATGGGGCTGGGAGGGCACTGGGTGCTCACAGTGGCTTATGTGGCACTGATCATGTCAAGTCACCGGTGAGCAGCAGGGGTACAGGTGTTCACTGTTAGGACTGATGTCCTGTGTACATTATGCAAGTTCTTTTGTATGTCCCCAACACTTCATGTAAAGAAAACTCTACAGAAAGACAAAATCGAGACCCTAGAAGGCAGCCTGAGAGGCCCAGCTGGCCTTCCAGGTGAACCAGTCTTATTAAGCTAGAGCCTCCAGCCCCCAACCTCCCACCCCCTCTCTACCCTTTGCTCTGCCTGCAACCGCCTTCCACCTCTATGCCCAGAAAATGCCAGGAGTCTTTGGCACTTCCTCTCCCCTCTCCTCCCCTCCTGTGAGCTACGCTGCTGTGGTGAGCAAGGCAGGCTCCACAAAAGGGGTGGAAGACTCCTGTGGGTATCCATGGAGGAGGACCGCCCCATGGGTGGCCAGGTTCCAGGGCAGTGGGGTTGCCTGTTTGGTAACTAACCATGCATTAATGAGTCTGAGTGCTCCGTGGCCACTCTATGAAGGAACCACGGTCCTACCAAGCCCAAGCATCTGGCTGGTGGTTGGTTCACTGTCCAGGAATGCCTTGGGGATGCACACAGGGCCACTTCTCTCCTGAAGGATCTCCCTCACTGCTGCCAACCTGATGCAGGAAGCTGGGGACCCTGATCAGTAACTTTGCTAGCAAATGATGTCTTTCCAGGGTGGCAAACCTCTGGCACCTTCGGTGAACACAGCCCTAAGCTGTGATCCTGGCTGCATGGCACATACAGCACCCTAACCTCCA